TACCCAAAAACGTAACTGAAAAACGTAAATTTGTTCGTAAAGCTGTTTGAGAATTTTCTAAAAATGCAAATTGGCATCACAAAACGTCTAAAATTAAACTAATGCAAAGAAAAAATGCCAAAAACAAAACAAAACAAATGAAAAAAGTAAGAAAAAAAAAACTAAAAAAAAAAAAAATAAGAACTTAGCAACTAGTGAGAATTTTTAAAGCAAAACAATGAGGTTCAAAAACAAAAACAACAACACGATAGAAGACAGAAGACAGAAACCGAAGAACAGAACTAAAAACATGATAAGATAAACAAACAACAACTACTTATTTATAAAAATTAATGGAAAAGTGAATGGAAACAAAGCAAAAACAAAAAGGCATAAAAGAAACAAAAAATTCAAATAGAAATTCTTTTCAAATATCAATAAAGCAAGAATATTAAAAAAAAAAAACAAAAAAAAAATAAAACAAAAAACAAAACAACAAACAACAACAATTACCTGTGTTTCTAACTCTTGGGATAGTCTTAATGGAAGAAACTACAAAAATATATTCATAAAACTTAAAATACGTACAATTTTCAAAAACATAATTTTATGAAACCGACGGATTGCACACTATGCAACCAATTCACAATACGATTTCCAGCGTATTGAAAAGCAAAGAAAACGAAGGAAAGCTCTGCTATTTTAAATATCATATTTATTCCCAATAGCATCGATACTTTTATAGTGATAGATACATTTTTTGGCCTGTTTTCATTCAATAAATATTAGTTAATTACTAAGTTAATGACTAATGAAGACGTCACAATTTTTGTCCAAGTAGGGTCGGCTATAAAATCAAACATTTGCCGATGCATGGAATATACCCATCGCGTTGCAGCAGTACGAAAAGGTTTCTCTTTCCAAGATTGCACTACATTTTACCGAGTTACAGGCATTTACAATTTCTGGAATATTCGTATCTCCCCAAAAATGTCAATTCTAAATTTTACCCAAATATGACAGAAATGGCGCGGGGTTACATCACAATTTGTGCAAAAATTTGGGTTCTTTCTAACATCCAAAATAGCTGAAGGCAGATTGCCATTCCATATAGTTTTATGAGTACAAAATCGAAGGTTTTTTATTGATTAATTGCTTTATTTTTAATAGAACTACAAATATTTCGAAATTTCGTAAGTCACAGCGAAAAAACAACGATTTGTTGAGCTAAGGCGATTTATATGCTACTGCTACGTTCATAAGTACATAAATAATTATTGCTTTAGAGTTCACTAGGTGTGAAATTTGAAAACTAACTAGGCGCTAGAGAGAGCGTGTGTGTGTGTATGTGTATGTGTGTGTGTGTGTGCATGTTTGTGTATGTCACTGTGATGTTCATTGGTATGTTGGGTATGTGGTATGTATTCGTGTGTTTAAGATTTGGGAGGTAGTTGGAAAAAGAGGCGCAAAAAGCACCCTGCCTAGGGCTTTGTCTTTTATAAGCAGAAGAAACAAAGTTTTTGGTTTTTTTTGCAGTCAATAAGCAATCCTTTCTCAATCCGCGTTGAGCTCCTCTCTATCGTCTGGCTCGGCGCCGCGACCCTCGCGTATACGCTTCAACTTGCGCTTCAGCATCATAACGCCTGCAGGTCGAACAACGAAAGATTAGTCAGAGATCGTGGAATGACATTTAGGAATTGAGGAGAGCTTACACTTGATGGCCTGATAGGTTTTGGCCGAGGCGGATTCAGTGGCTGGAATAGGATTGGATGTGGCCTTCTCATGGGCCAGCTTCACCTCGATGTACGCCCTTTTAAGCGTCTTGTAATGTCGATACTCGCTGGTGTCCCTCATCAAGATGCATCTGCAAGGATCATATTAGCAAAGGGAGTGCAAACAACTGGCGGTAGAATATGCAATGGCTCGCTTACTTAGCCGCAGAGCCCTCGCCGGAGCAATCCGAGGGCGAGGTATGATAGATCTGATGGTAGAAGAGCTGCAACACCGGTGAATTCCATATGGCGAGGCCATACCACAGCCAAATGGCCACATTAAGCGGCAGCTTAAAGTTCTTGGCGAAAAGCGTGGGTATAAAGTAATTGAAGGGCAGCAGATTGATATGCACATGCAACCAGGCGGCAACCCGCATTCCCATAAACAGCTGGTAGACCCAGCGATTACGATTCGAATTCTGCAGAGCCAGCAGGGTCAGGCACTCCGCAAGTATGCTGTGCAGCCCCATTGTGAGATTCAGGCCGACAAAATAGTTTTCATATCTGCAGGTAGATTAACATTTCATTACATATTGCTAATGAAGAGGTAGCTTTTTATGTTCGCACATGCCTGTACACGTCGATCGCGATGAGGGCAAAGAGGTAGAGCCACTTGGAGACGGTCTCCAAAAAGTCAGCTTCCTTGAAGTCCAGCATGGCGCCATGCAAATAGAAGGCAATGATGAATATCGAATAAAACTGAAACTTCTCATACTGATGCGACCGATAAAAGATGAGATTGTCCGAACTATGGAAGAGCGAATAGCGGCCCTGGTTCTTCATCAACTGCGGCAATATCATAAATTCATTGTAGAAGTGCAAAAAGAGACAGCAGGCTCCATAGAATGCAATGTTCCATATCAAGCGAGCGAATTGTTTCCGCTTAAAATACTTGACGTTCGACGATTTAAGGAAGAACTGTCAAGACAAGCAAAAATAAATGTCAATTAGTAATTTATTGGGATACTTCACGGTGCAAACTTACATATGTACTATATATGTATATTGTATATATATAAAGACATGCATTGGCGTGTATTATGCATTTATGTATATGTGCATGTTAGTGTATATCAGTTCGGCTTGAGTCTGGTTTCAAATAATGTTTAATCTTAATGGTTGTCGGTCGCGGCAGTTGGTCGCATGTCTTATCATAACGTCGCCACCGCTGCCGCCACCGCTGCCGATGCCACCGCCGCCGCTGCTGCCACATTACAGCTGCCTGCTGACTATTTATAAACGTCAAACTAATTGGGCACGCGCAGCAAACAGCAATTGAACGCCGTGCTGTCGCTTACTGCAGCTCGTTTACTGTAGTTGGCTCACCTGGAAGACGCGCTGAAATCCGTAGAAGCCGCAGAATAACGCCACAAATATCCAGAAGACCGCATTGATCAGGTAATGCATATCAATATTTTGTACAAGTGCATCGAACCGATCGTTGGTAATTAGATATTTAAGCGGTAAAAAGAAGTTGCCAATTTCCGCCCAATAGTCCGGCGGACCGGCCTTCATATCCAGTATGGACATCTTTGATTTTTAGGCGGCCGCAGCGCTTATGGTTAGCGCAAGCAAGGACCACAAGCAAACCTCAAAAATTAAACGTTTGCCATGCAGCGATTTCGTTGTCAACCTGATGAATGGGGATGTATTTATAAACAGTAACAAATTTTGTAGTCTTATATTTACGTGCCTGGTACATTGTCAATCGACATATCGATTGATTGCGATAGTGCCGATATCGTTGCATCGCTAGCTGAGCTTTGCTTTCGATAGTTTGAGTGGCTGCCAACCTGTGTGCAGCGCGCACTTATTTAAATTCAAAAATACTTACCATTTCTTAATATTTTGCAGTCGCATTTCAAAAATGGCTGAATCTTCAGTTGCGCGCATTGTCGATTATCCCGATGACCCTATCGAGCTTCTAAAGCAGCTGTTAGATGCTGTTTCTAAGCAACAGCCAGATTCGGTGCAATACATGAATTTGGCCACCATCGATGATGAGTTCGGTGTACTCAATCGTACTGTGCTCTATCGCGGACTCAGCAATGATAAATGCATTATCTACGTAACACAGCGTTTTACACGCAACTATAAGAATATCAATGCGAATACCAAGTGCGGCATTACCATCCTGTTGCCCCAAGTGGTGCTGCCTTCGCCGGGTCAAAGGCCGCACACCTGGCAAGTGCGTCTCATTGGCGCCACCGCTGTGGAGCTGCCCGAGTCTGAGCTGGATGCGTTGTGGTCCAAAGAGCCGCTCTCGGCGCAAATACGTGACACTATCTTTCCCTGTGGACAGCCGGTGGATTATGATGAACTCAAGGCTAAGCATGACCAGTTCCTCAAAGATCATCTAGAGCAGGGCCAGTCGCTGCAGCGTCCTCCTACCTTGTACGTTGGTGCCTAATATAAAAAGTACATCGCATTAACCATTTCCCCCCAACCCCTCAACAGCACCGCCTTCAAATTCGTGGCACAGCGCTATGACTTTCTCAAGGTGGGCGTGGACCAGATTGCGGATCGTGTGCAATATCGTCGCCAGGAAAATGGCCAATGGGAAGCCATGCATGTTTCGACCTAATTCCGTTTTTACGTAAAACAATTGGCCTGTATTTTACTCATTTTTATTTTTATTCAACTAGCATTTGCAGAAGCAAAACAATCGTTATCAACAAATACAAACAAAATTACAGTTATACAGCAGCTAAATGTAACACTAATATTATGTCCTTTTTTTTTGATTAGCATACAATTAAAATAGTTAATAAATATTACACAAAACAGTAAAAAAAAACAAGTAGGAGGCTCTAGTCGGGAGTATCCGACTAGGGGATACCCTGAACCCTCTTCTACCAACATCAAATGAAGCTCGCGCTACGCGCTCGTTTGCTTTAGTAGTAATAAAAATAAATAAAAAAACAAATTCCCGCGATAGGACTCGAACTCGTAACAAACAACGCAACTTGCCGCCGCCTCTACTCAACAGCCAAACCAAAAAATAAATCAACTCTGAATAAAATAACAAATTAAAATAGCAGCAGTACCGGGGAGATGGCGATAGCTGTAAAATGAAGGATACTTGATGTGTATACATACATATACCATTCTAGAAGCTGCATGTCAAGTTTGGTTTGGACTCTAGCTCTCATAACTTACGAGATTTGCTCAAAAAAAGGATTTCGATATCGATTTTTACTTGAAAACGAGTCAAGTTATCGATTATTGAAAACAAACTCGTTCTGCGCTTACTCTCGGAGGATCGATCCAAAATTGCAAGATTCTAGCTCTTATAGGTTCTGAAATTCTTGCGTTCATACATACGGACAGGCAGACAGACAGACGGACAAGGCTAGATCGACTCGGCTATTGATGCTGATCAAGAATATATGTATGTATATACTTTATGGGGTCGGAGATGCCTCCTTCTGCCTGTTACATACATTTGCTCAAATACATTATACCCCTTTTACCCATTTTTAATGGGTTCAGGGTATAAAAAATGGTTACAATAATACATAAAAATATTAGGTTAAAACATGCAGTAAATTACGATTAAGGTTGGTTCTTCTTGCTTTTTACATAATACACGTTAGTTTTTACAGAGTAATAAATGTACCGCTGGCGGCTATAGGCTACACCGCGTTTACCGTCTCCCGTATCCAATCCGCATTGGGTGCAATCTTATCGTACATGCGCGGCCGCTCGACGCCCGTCGGTCCACAAGCAATCCGCCAGGATGAGACACCAATTAGGGCCCATTGATTAGTGCCCGGTATGAGGCATTGCACGGGCGCGCCAGAATATTCCTCTTGCTGCAAGTGTACAAAATATTTCACAATTTTAGAAATTAAGTAATTCGCTTGGGAGCCATTATAAATCGACACCCTGTTTATAGCGATTGTGACGTCACGTAACAAAAGCGACATGCAGCGACGCGTTCGCGAACAGTAACTGAGCAAAACAAAACAAAATAGATGAGTAACGTCATGTCAACAACAACAACAGAGCGAAAGGCGCTATCCCATTCTCGCGCTCAGAGCATATGCCGCATAGCACGAGCGCTCTCGCACGCATGCAAACGCACACAAATAGCAAATGCTAGAAACATCCCTGAATACGCACAACTCTACCTACTCTGCAGACAGAGCATAGACTATGTGCAGGCGCGCAGCTGCACTGCCAGATCGGTCAAAGGCCGCTCAGGCGCTGGGAGCCCTCTCTCTCTCTCCCATCCCTTTCCCACCTACTAATGTGTATAAATGAAGACAGCGCGCGCCAACTTTCATTCATTCGAGCGTCGGCATTGCAAGTGAGCGCATCACGCACAAAGAACAAAAGCCAATTGAGAACCGGCAATAAAAAAAAAACAACATAACAGTAACAGTTATTCGGAACGCAAGCGTCATCATCGAATTTCAAGATATTGGATATGAAGAGCTGCCTAAAGATCAGTTTTCACGGCGAAGTCAGTTTCGTCATTTGCGAGGCAGGCAGCAGCTACGAGCAAATCATTGCCCAAGGTACATACATATACATACGTGAAATATTCAAATTTGCAACTGCAACGGCAGCAACCTACCTATTACCTATTCTTTTCCATGACCTTTACAGCCTGTGCTCGCTTTCACATACCCGAGGCCCAGCGTGCCGGCCTGGTGCTAACCAATGGCCAGGGCTACGTGTTTGAGCAGCAGCTATTGGAGTACTTTCTGCTGCTGTTCCCCTGCCCCGAGTTATTGTTCTATCTGCGTCTAGACTGGCAAAAATTGCGTCGTGCCCTGATCGAGCCCGTCAAGCGGCGACGCTCGGCAGATGACATCCGCGAGATTCAACCGGACGTTCCGGATGGAACGGACTATGTGGCGGTACCTGTGCATCGCCAGAACTGTTTTATAGGCGCATTGCCTAGCAGCGCTCCAGTTGCTGCTGCCGTGAGTCGCCAGAATTGCTTTCTCCGCGCACAACTGCAGGAGCAGCAGCAACAATCGGCTTCGGTTGTGCTGCACAGACTCAGGCAGGAGCAGGCACGACCCGAGTCTCAGCCCAAACGGATGCGTCTTCAGCTGTACAAGAAATCACGACGATCGCTTCCTAGCGCTGGCCCCCATTCGGCTCTGCTAGCAACTGCAACACGCTCAATACGCATCTAATCGTACGGAGCACCTAGTCTGTCCAAGACAAAGTTGTATATAGAACCTTTTTTTTGCGTCTAGCATTAAGGTCGAACCACAGTCCCTAGCAGATAAGTAACCCATTAATAAAAACTACATTACAATCCGAAAACTCAATAAGACTCATATCAACTAAAATTCCCAAACTGATCGATTATGTTATATATGTATGTAATTGCATATTAAATTTGGCTGACTGTATGCAACTAAATATATGTACATATATGTATATGTATATATGACATTACATATATGAGGAGCATTCATACATATGAATGCATGTGTGCATGGTATGTATGTAATACATATGTTGGTATATATAAGTTGTTAAATGTTTCCGTATATATGTATATACGTATGTATGTCTACATGCATGTGTGTGTGTATGTGCATGCCTGTAATGTATGCATTTTTATTCTTTTATATGAAACGCGGATCAAATTAACTTTTCGCTGCGATGCAAAATTAAAAAAAAAACGTATTTTTAACCATTGCCCTACTATGTGATTCTCAAGAATTCTAGTAAGGCCTGCTGGTTTTCTTGCTATGATCATTATCAATTATAATTATGTATGTATATGATGCATTAAATAGTTATGATGGCGATCTAATTAACTTAACATTTGTGTGTGTGTGTATATATATATTTATGTGTGTATGCATATGTACATATGCATGCGTGTATTTATATATACATGTGTACATGTATGTACCTATGTATGTGTGTATGTATACACATATGTATATAAGTATGTACATATGTATGTGTTTATGTATGTGTGTATGTATGTACATACATATGTATGTGTGTGCGTGTGCTATTATATATTTATGTGTGTCTTATTCTGTATGCATGTGTGTATGTATATGTACGTATATGAAGGTATGTATATGGTAATGTATATGTATTCAAAGTTACTTCTTGCTGCGATTCAAATTTAAAACTGAATATTAGTATTGCCCTACTATGCGATTCTCATGAATTCAAGTAAGTTTTGTATAACATGTGTTGGCAACCTAAAAGTTTATCTCTGCGCACGCTCTTACGTTAATTGCTCTCTCTCTCTCTCTCTCTATCCAGTTCACGCGACCTCTCTCTCTCACTCATATCAATTTGTTTAAGATATCTTGAAATTTCATACTTAATTTTCGATCCATCAGTATGATATAGTGATGCCGTATAGATGATTATAATCTTTCCCAAAAATTGTTATTACTCACCGTGCAGTCGTATTTCTGGTAGGTTGCCTCCATGCACATGGAGTTGACCGTCGTTATGGAGATATTCTCGCAGGGCGCCATATCACCAATTTTTAGCTGCACGCGCTGCAGATGATCGCGCTGTCGGGACCAGCCGAGCGTGTTGCAGTTCGTCCAGATTTGTTCTGGTGTGCTGGGTGGCTTGGTGGTTTTGGCCGCCTGTGTAGAGGAGGATGCGCCATAGTAGTTGACTTGCGGGGCACTGTCGGGCAACGGATAAGCGTTCAGCTGGGGGTGCTCCTCCCCATCCGGTACCTGTTGCAGTGCCTCGGCACGCGGCATTTGGGATGCGGCAGACTCAGCCTTCAGGTAGTCATAGCCAGCAGCGTCTTCATGGTCATCGGCGCTGGCACCTGAGCCCTCGTGTTGCTCGTGCTGTGAGGGTATAAGGAAGAACTGCTGAGTTTCCTGGGCCAGCCGGCGCTGGGAATGCTGGGCTGGCGGAGCTTCTAGGCGCTCAGCCACTGGTACGTAGGCGCGCCGTTGTATGGGCGTTTGCTGCTGCTGGCGCTGCAGTGCGTCTGGCAGGCAAACGGGGCGCACATGATCCGAGAAGCTGACCGGCGTCTCTAAGCGGACCAGTGCCGCTGTGGAACCCTCAACAGGGCTTTTGATCATGCCAATAATACGGCGACGTTGTGTCCACGGCGCCTTCGCTGACAAACGAACTGCACCCACTATTGCCATCCAGGTGGCTCTCGGCTGGCCCTGGAAGCAGCCCTCTGTGGTCAGCACCCAGTCCGGTGATATAAGCGTTCCATCGCAGACGTGTATGTCCTCGCGGAACAATGCCACCAGCCACGGCCAATCACCCGGGGCTGACATCTTGGGCAGCGACAGATGCTGCTTGGCATTGGGCAGCGCCGACTGCACCCCGCAACGCAGATCGCCACAGCCCACGTAGAGCACCTGTCTCTTGGGGCAGTGGGTTCGTATGAAACTGATCTCCGGCGCATGCGGATCTAAAACGCGCACATAATCCGACAGTTTTTCCGTATCATTTTGTACATCAAAGATTTCCACAGATCTGCAGAAGATAATTAGTAAGCGATTAAATGGCGCTAAATTCAAAAAAGAAGGATCACAGTGCTGCCACCTTGCAAAACATTCAGCACAATTTTTGTTAGCAACAAGCCTTGCCATTCTGTTGATTAGTTGTTAGCGTTGCCACACGTACACAAAATTGTAACGTTTCATGAGTCGTTACGAAATTCAAATTTTTGCAAGCAGGTCTTACATTAATTTATGTCATTTTTACGCAGACGGGCTATTTAATATGTTTGCATAAAAATAATGCATCTATATCTTGTATATTTTATACAATTATGGACACGTACTTATTAACCACCCCGCGTGAATGGATGCACTTACTCATAGCCCAGCGATTTGCATAAGGATTCCGAGACGGTCTGGCGTACCACTAGTTTGGCATCACCCTCTAGGCCCTCAGCGCACAGTTTGCCCACTACGCCTTTCTCGGAGAAGACAGCATAGCCGGCGGCATGGAAGCGTGGCAAATACGGAACCAAGGGCTCGGGTTGCAGTAGATCCGCGGCCAATGGAGCGATAGAAACTGTTTGTAGAATAAAGGAATTAGTTACACAGCCGGTATTTTTATCAGCTTCTACTCACGGCAATCCTTCTCGTCAGCGCCATCCGGACAGTCGGCCTTCCCATCGCATCGTGCCTTGCGCGGCACACAGGCGCGTCCGCGTCCACAGTAGAGCGCATTGGCGGCGCAAAAGGCGCAGCTGCGTTCATCCGACAGATCCGGACAATCGGCGTAGCCATCGCATAAACGCGGACTCTGCACATTGCTCTGCATGTCACCAACACAGTGGGGCTTCTGCTGGCACGACTGTGTGCCCGTCGACTCCGGGAAGCGTTCACAATCAAAGTGCTGCCGGAAGCGTGCTGGCAGCCTGCCGCCACAGCCGGCCATGAACGCCTCACAATATTCGCGACAGATGGCGCCGGGCGTCGGCTGCTGGCTGATGCCGTGCGTCTCGCAGGGTGGCTGCAGTAGACGGCAGACAAAGTCGTAGGCCTCACGGAAACACTCGCCGTCGACGAGCTCGCGGAACACAATGACATCCTCGACCACCTGCTCATAGGTAGCGTGACCCAGCATATTCGGATAGGTGGTCACATTGTAGCCCACATTGCGACAATAGTTCAGCTGCAGTGGCTCGCATCGGCGCGGCAGCGGACGTGGTGTTGTGGTGGTCGGCTCGGTGGTCTCATCATGGCCACCAAGCGGTGAGCTGGACATGATAGGCTCCTCGATCTGGCCGGTGGTTTCCTTAATGGTCACGCTTGACACATCCACGGTCATGTTGGCAAAATGCCGACTTTGTGCATCGCTTAACTCTTCATGGAAAAGCGCCAGCAACTCGCCGCTGCTGACCAGACCCGCATACGGATCGAATATCATGTTGAAGTGCACGATAATGTTGTTGTTGTCCTCGCTGCTGTGGAAGAGCATATGCATATGTTATAGCATATATATCAATGGCTCAATTGGATGCACTCGTATCATCCGATCTCGATATTTTTCTTACCCATCTAAAGCCAGAATCTCGCTGCCCTCGTAGGCCTCACGTAAGTCGGAGCGACGTAACGTTAGATTGATGCGCTCCCGATAGTCACGTGCCTTGTGCTGGAAACGGAGCGAGTTTTGATTGGCGAGCTCCATGCTCCATTTATCGTTAAGCACCATGAACTTGCCACGGAACACGCGATCCGGCAGCGGCTCCGGCCGAAAGTATGTATCTGAAATTGAAGTGCATACCACTTTACGTTAAACTCGTCCGCTGGGCACTTGGCTACAGCTACTTACAGCCTATATAGACAAAGGCGCCGGCCACCAGCAGGGCAATAAGGAAGCCGGCTATCACAGCGCATCCGCACTTCTGGCTATCACCCAACTTGCGGCGGGTGAAGCGTATGTCCGAGTCGGTGGATAGCACAGACTCTGACTTGCGACGCAGTCCATGATGGGCATGGTTATGACTGTGGCTGTGCATGTGGTGCAGGTGGTGCTGTTGCTGTGCCTGGTGCTGATGGTGCCGATCCCCATCTCGCTGATCAGCTCCAGGTACGGATGCCACAGTTGCTGCTACTGCAACGCCGCCGCCATTGCTGTGGGTGTGATGGGGCTTGTGGTGTCGCGTGCAGCGTGTGTTGTGGAAAACCTTGGCTGGCTGAGATGCTGCTGCTGTTGGCAAGACGCCATTGCCATTGGGATTGCTTTGGACGAGACCCTATAAAAAAAAAAAAAAACAAGTTTATAATTAGTGACATAGCCGAAACAGATTTTTTTACAGCCACGGTTCGCGTGGTCAATGACCACAAAGCGCCTTAAAATTAGACGCTTTGATTTTGCGCCAAATCATGCCGTTAAATCAACCATCGAAACGAACGCCCGATCACGGCAAGTGCCTTGGTAATGCACTTGAAATAGTTTATAATTTGATTTTTGTGTTGTTAACTTTTTTGTTTTTGTTTTTGTTTCTTTTTTTTAGTTGCTGCTGTGCATGCAAATGCAGTGCAATGTTTGCATGCAGCATGACGACCGCAGCATGAAACCAAGGAAGTGGCGCTTTAAATTGCATTTTATTCGAATTAATTGCGGAATCAATTTGACTGTTTACAATTTTGCTTTTCATATTTTAAAAACTTTAAGCAGTAAAAAAGAAAAGCAGCAAGGGAAGCCACATGGATAACCCATGTGGAAGGATCTGGCATCACTATGCAGACGGCGAAGAAGGATCAAAAGGCTGGCAGCATCTACATACACGCTAAGTTGGCTGTGCCGCAATTGGTTCACAATGTTAATAACGGACTACTTGGAGATTCGTGCGGTGGGGTAATGTTGCAATTGCGAACGTGCCACGGCACAGAGAACTTAAACTCATCGTATGCACATAAACACACTTTAGAAAATTAATTAAAGCGCAAGTAAAGCAAAATAAAACAGCAGCTGCCATGACGGGAGGAGGGCCGCACCGTACCGGGCCAGGCCGGACCGCTGGCAGTAAACAGGTCGCGTCGCGGCCTACTTTTCTCTGCGTGATGCTGCCGCCACCGCTTGACGCGGCAAAGCGTCAACAAACATGCATACATACAGATGCATGTATGTATGTATGTGCGCACATATAATAATAATAAAATAAATGAGCAGCAAAAAGCACAAAAATGTAATTAAACATTGCGAGAAAAGCGAGTGAGCGCGCGAGCGCGTAAATGGTTTCCTCATTTCATAATCAACAACTGCGTTTATTGACCATGTCGCACATAAGCAGACGCACAGAGACTATGGTAAGTAGTCAGTTTTGGGGTTAACTTATTAGCGGCATTTGCATTTTGTGTGTTGCAATTGCACAGCAGCAGCGCGCGCCGCTCTCTCATTCGCTCTCGTTTATGCGTGCCAGCCAGAGGGGAGTCAGCCAAAAGTCACTCGGCCGCATAACGGAGCAGAGAGCGCGCACGTGCAAACAAATCATGTTACCTCACACTCTTTCACACATTTCCTTCTTTCATCTGCAGCTTTACGCTTTTCTTCTCCAATTATTGCACATCATTGCACACACTGACTTACATACATGTTAATGTGTACATGTGTGTGTGTGTGTGTGTGTGTGTGCATAACTAAGTATTTTATTACATTTCCGTTTAATTACCTTCCAATTGGTTTTGCCGCCATTTGTCTGCATCTCTTTGCTTTTGTCTTTGCTGCTGTTACGATTACTGCTGCAGTGGTTGTTGTTGTTGTTGTTCTTTTTGTCAACTGCCGCTGTAGTTGTTGTTCCTGATGTGTTTGTTACTGTTGTTGCCATTGGATTACCGCCGGCAGCATTTTTGTCCGCTTCGCGAGCTTTTTTGATCTGCAATTTCCAAAATGTTATAAATTAATGGTTAACAACAAAATTCTGCCAGTATTTTTTTACAGATATGGTAATGGAAGCAACATGCGCGGCCGACAGGTGCTAATTGTGGCGTGGACACAAAATTTAACACACCAAACGAACAACGGGTTCGGCGGGGGGCCATGACTCAAGCTCAAAAGTAACTGCTCCAGTTAAGTTTTGTGTTTGTTTGTGTTTCTTTTAGCAGTTGGCATGTCAAAAAGATTACAAAAACAACAAACAAGAAGAAGACGAAGAAGAAGAAAGAAAAAAACCAGCGCCCGCAATGACGGCCCATAAACGAAGCCAATGTCAAGCGATCAGCGCCCCAAGCGACGTCCACATCAACGTCGACGTCGACGTCAGCTGCGAAGTCAGCGCCAAAAGAAAGTTGTGGCAGCGTTTCCCTTGCTCATCTTTTTATTTAAATATGCTTACACACATACATATGCAAGCACACCCATACAGATTTACATATTTTGGCGGCGCAGTTGCTGAACTTTTATTTTCGATTCAGCAACTTTTACTTTGCCTTGTTATGTTGCTATCAACATTTTGTATCAACAATGCTCCAGCGACACCAAAAACCGCCGCAGCAGCAGCATCAGCAACAGCAACAATAACAACAACAATGCACCATGAACAACAACCTATGCCACGTTTCGTTTTCGCTTTTCTTTCACAAGACTAATTAGGAAAATTCATTAAAATCCACACACACACGCACACACATGCACAGCACACGCCAGCATTGGATGCAGCCGCTTATAAACATGTTTGGACGCAACATGTTGCCGTTGCACCGTGGAGTCGTTGGCTCGTTGTTAGAAAATATATGAATATTTTAATATTTATGCCGAAAAATGTAACAAAAACCAAATTAGTTAGACAAGAGCATAAATATTTAAGCTGAAACTAATTAGATTCGCAACCAAATCTCCGTGGGAATTATCAATTGCCGCCCACTGTCTGTGTGTGTGTGTGTGTGTGTGTGTTTTTCGCTGCAATGTTGCCGTAACGTGTTTTGGGGGACAACAACAAAAACAAAACACTTTCATTTCGCTGGCGACTTTGCTGCATTTTTTCGCCTTGGCTTTGAATTTTTGACTGCAGTTGGCACAAAAAATTCGCTTTCGCTGCGGAACTCGCTGCAGCTACAACAACAAGCACCTCGACAAATATTGCAATGGCGAACAAACAATTCGAAATGCGCTTCTTCTTCTTCAAATGACACTTGTCAATGGCAAACGAGTTCGTGGCCTAAGTCTTTTGAACTCTGTCGCTTTCACAGCGGCCCCCGTGTATCCCCCACCAGCTGCGCCCCCCTCCCCAACAATTGTCTGACCTCCATGCCACAAACGAAAGTTTGCAATTGCATTTGATAAGTGCATCGAGCACAAATTTCAAATATTGAATGAAGTGCCACAACGAAATTTTAGATGCCCTCACAAAATTATTTAAGTAATTATTCGATTTCTTAAAACCTTTCTATATTTTTGGCCATGTGCATAGAAGGAGACAACTCCGATCCAATTGACGGGATCAGAATCAACAGCCATATGTCAGTCTGTCTTTCTGTTGCGGGCTGTACATACGTCGGAATGGAACCACTATATCATATAGCTGCCATAGGAATAATCGGCGAAACAATGAGTTTTTGTTCTTCAAGATATCTTGACCAAATTTACTGAACGGTTAACCGAAGATATCCATTTTTTCTTGTTTTATCATAAAATTTGTGGGATATTTATTAGGTTTTGACTCGGAGCATAAATAGGTACTATGCATACCAATTATAAACATTAGGCTCTAGTACACATGTGCATGTGTGTAAATTAAGTTCCCACGTGCCGAAAAGCTGGAAAACTATTTCATTTCTCTAATGAACTCTGAGAAATAGTTTATTTTCTGTAGCTTTGATAACAATGCAAATAACTAGCGCATATCTAAAATTCAGATACACACATATATATAGACATACATTGGGGCTGCCAGCCAAACAAAACAAATTGTCGCTGGTTCGGTTCACGGTTCGAACTAACTCTTTGCCTTAAGCTGCGGAACCTGAACCTTTGTTTTCACATGCCCAGTTTTGTGTTTATGCCTTATATATGTTCATATGTCCAATATTTTAATCAAACAGCTTAATTTTAAATTGATAACTGCCTGCTGTAATGAAAATATTGCATCCCATATATATTTTCAATTAAAAGTTGGGCGCTATGTATGATCTCTACCCAAAAATGGCATCTATCAAATATTCTTGGATAACTGAAATGTTATGGAGACTGGGTCTCCCTCAAAAGACTTTTAAATTGAACCGAACCATTTTGTATATAATAAATATGATCCGGTTCGGGCTTCGGCTAATCGTTATATTGATATAGTTTATAGTACTATATCAAATAACCAAGAAGCTACTGACTACACAAGATTCTATACGATATCATTTCAATTGCTCGTAACACACGCAAGGTACGGTGCATATACTATATAGCATGGATTGTTGACTAAATATAACTGTTTATTACGATATAATATAAATATATCTGAGTACAAGCATACAATCGCGATTTTTCCCATTCAATTTTAGTTTTCTGAACTATTGCGGAAATAGCTTTGGAGAAGCCGACTTCCTCTACGGAAAATTTCACAAAAATATTTGTAAGAGTTACAAGATAAGCGAACAAACAGAAAACCCAGTGAGTAAATTATAGATTATATAAAATAAACTCTGGAAAAGGCTACAGCATAGGGACATTACCCAAGTAAAACAGGAAAAAGATTATGGGAATGACAAAGTTTCGAAAATCTGAATAACTTTGCTATCAGCAAATTGTCTGAGAGTTTGTAAAACGCGGAAGTCGACAGGGTATTTAGCCAGATATGAGTATTAATATTAGTTTGTCAAATGCCATAATTTTTATAAGGCAACGATTCAATTTATAATCAGCTGCGGGTTACACAAACTTGGCAAATGGTTTAATTAATTGGCACAAATGCAGCAGAAGGCGAAATGAATAATGAGATAGTCAAAGTTTCATATATTTATTAATAAATAAGTTATCCATAATGGCCATTTATCAAAAAATTGTTTTATTTTTCAATTGAAAAGGCGACTTATGGCTAAACGTACATTTGTCTCGACTGAAAGACCTTCGAATTATGGAGACAAATTTGTAAAGAATTTTTGTTTAAAACGCAATCAATTAAAGGTTCGATTATGAATCGATTTTTATGCATATTTGAATAAATGGCAGTACTTAATGTATTTTAATGACAATTTGAATAAATTAAGGTACTATTTCTTGCCAATATCGATATATTTATGTATTTATCGATTTTTCATTGCATCATTCTAGGTCCCGTTGAGTCCTGCTGACCGAATTCCAACACGAACGCGTTGTGGGTGCTCGTGGAACGCTGGAAATCACGGCATGCGCCCATCTCTAGTTGGAAGCATGTGGAAAGGGTATTAAACGGAAATCGTTAGATGCTGCAGCAGCCACGTGCGGACGCTCAGCGGCAGCTGTGACAGCGACAGCGACAGCTTTTCACTAATTTCCCTTTAAGCAAGCAGCTGGCGCTTGGAGCAGCAGCTGCCACTCAGTCGTGACGAATTAATAACGGCCACAAAATGCAGCCAACATTGGCGACCTCACGGCGAAAGCGCCAAACGGCAAGCGGCAAACGGCGGCGAATGGTGCAACGGGCAACAGTTTTGTGGACTGCTCAAAGTGGCTGCCACGCCTCCATGTCTCCCATGCGACGTGCGTGACTCTGGGACGGTGACTGAGAGCAAGACCGAGACAGGGGTTGGGGATGGCGCCTTTTCCAGGCAAGAGCGACGTGACTGAGGCATCAACAAAGTCGAAACTGATTTTTCCAAGCGCCAATAACTGGGTTGGATTTGGGTGTGTTAAAAACAGAAACTAGAGAGCTGACTCATACGACTGGGCATGGCCAATTGCCACCTACATACAGCCAAAGATATGTGCATGTGTATGTGTATGTGCATGAGTATGTGCACACATATGTATGTACATATGTATTTATTTTACAACTATTGCAAATCAAAATGCAACGCAACAAGCTGCTCATCTAGACACAATTCCACAGCGATTTGGCCTCGTCTGGGCCTTTTGACTTGGCTCTGAGGTCTCATGGATTTTGTTTTGCATTCAAATGAAGTAGAAAGTTCTGCGCACAACAACAACAACAACAACGACAACAACAAAAGCAGTAACAACAACAACAATAACAGTCAAAAGGTGAACACGTCCAATGCTGAAAATGATACGAAAACAAATACAATTAATTGAAATGCCGCCGAGCGCTTTCTTGACATTTATCTCAATTATTCCCCTTGCCCGGCTTGCCCTGACTGTGTTTCAGTTTTCATTTGTTCCAAATTGTTTATTCAGAATGTGACTTGGACCCTCGAAGTGTGGGTGAAAATATGTATGTATGTATGTATTATAACAAAGAAGAGCATTAAGAAGACCGCAAAAACAACTGATCTGTATGCATATATTAACAAACCACGCACATCATATACATATATATATATGTATATATATATATTTACAATATATATATATATATGTATATACATTTATAAATATATAAATAATTATGCATAGGGGTCATTGAATTTGTATGTTACGGCCAGAATATTAAACAGATCACATAATGAGGATCAAAATGTGCACAATCATAGGAATATACAAACATAAATAAATGCATAAATCATGAACATGAGATCAACGTACGTTAGAATGGCACAGCTTACCAAATGTCCAATTAGCAAGTTCTTTTAAGTCCAATTCGATGTGTTGTTCGATAACTACATCAATTTTCTGATTTAACAGTATATTAAAAAGTTTAATTGTTGCTGTAAGAGCTTTAAAGTTGTATTTGAAGAGAAAAATGATTTGAATAATCGATACTTTAGTATGTATACACTAATGTATGTATGTGCGTGTGTATAATGTATGTATGTACATTGACATATGGCAGCATATGCCAATTGGATTTTGAAGTCGATAGCAGCGTAAATTTATCGATAGCACATAATATCAAATTGTTTAGCTGTTAGCCTAACAGTCTAATAGCTCAATTTAAATAACCTGATTTAAATATTTGATAACTGCTTGAACCTACATACATATGTACGCAGGTAGATATGAACTTTGCGCCACAAAACAGTTTAAATTCCAGTTTGTGTATACGTGAAGTGCGATAGCCAAAAAAAAACTTATCTATAACACATTTAATTGTTTAATTAACTTAATTATTGGCCTGAGAGCTTCAAAGTTTAAAATGTAATCAACGAAATGATTTGATTAATCGATGCCCACATATGTAGATGTACATTGCGCCTGGAAACAGTTCAAGGTTGGCCCCAATCTTTAACGGTGGCTCTGGCTGTCCCACAAACATAAATTTTAATTTCCGGTGCCAAATATCACTGTCCATCCAAATTTCATTAGTTATTTAAAAAAAAGCAGCCAAAACGACATCACTACAATGAATAAGGCAATAAATTTGACAGCGACGCCAACGCATAGCGTCGCTGCCAACGTTGGCGCTAGCGCAGTTCAAGGCTAAGCGAATTGCAATCGGCACGGCTGCGCGTAAAAGTCTGGGCGTGACAGTGCCCCTAAAATTAGAGTCCGAAAGACAGTAAAAAGTAATTTGGCAATAGGGCGGCCACAATAATAATAATAAAGCACTGCGAATTGGAAAGTAAAGGGCGCACACATGAATATACATATGTATGCATGTACACCTATACTCACAATCGAAAGGAAATCCAATTTTAAAGCATTCTCATACACACACATACAGTTACAATAAATCGCAGTTGGCAGCGCTTCGGCGTCGCCGCTTATAAAAGTCATAAAATGCTTGAAGCTGACAGCAACAACGACGGCAACGTTGATGATGAACAAACAACCAGGCACTGCCAATGAATTGTGCTACTTTCTTTGCCAGCAGCCGCTGCCGCTGCCGCAGCCGCCGCCGCAGTCGACAACTTTGTTAAGACTTTGGAATTGCACATGGTTGTTGTTGGGTTTGTCATTATTGTGGGCTATCCTCATTGTTGCTGTGTGTTTGGCTTTTGGTTCTAATTTATTTCAATGACAATTTAGAAATAAGAAAAATGCAAGCCTGAAAAAAAACGCAGACTGAAGCCGCAGCAAGCTGCTGTGCTTTGTGCAGGCAGAGAAAGTTCATGGCATTCTATTGTGTGTGTGTGTGTGTGTGTGTGCACAGCGTTGCCATTAGCGATCGTTTAGAGGGTGGCCAGATCGATGCTGGCAGCCGCAATGAAAGGTCACTCAAGCTGCTGCTCAACTTTTGCACTCAAAACATGAATTGCGCTCAAACAGAAAAGTAAATATAAAAAACCAAAACGGAGCATGTCTCAAACAAAAATAAAAATAATGTAAGAAATAAGTACAAAAGACAAGCTATTATTATTTTTTTTCTAGTCGCTGCTGCTGCTGCTGCTACCTTGTTTTTGTTATTGCTGCTGCTGCTGCTGTCGTGTGGCATTTGGCAAATGGCAACAACATTTTATATTACTGTTGTTGCTGCTGCCCGAACCTGTTGCAGCACATGGCTGCAAATTTCAACTGGAAAACGCATTGCTATGAAAACATCAAACATATGTACATGCATACATACATACATATGTATGTACATTTGCCAAAATATACTCTCACTCTTATTGGAAAGCACTCGACTTTGCTAGTCCTTGTGTGGCATACACAAATATAGGAATAGGAATTTCGCTCTTTTTTAAATGCTTTTTATATTGGTACTTTTTATCAGACTTTAAGATATGCAACGTAATCAGTGGAAAAATGTTATTGCCTTATTGGCTAGTACGGTGAGAGGGGGAGGGGTCATTGTGGGTTGGGAGTGGGTGTTATGTTGTGGCGATGGCGTCAGCTTAGCCGCTGGCTGGTCTTTTGGTGATTGTGCAAAAAACAAAAAGAAACGAACAGCAACAATAATAGCAAAACCAAGATAAGCCTAGCTTTAGACCGACAACTGAAAGTTGTTGCGTTTTTCTAAGCCAAACGAGTTTGTTGTTGTTGTTTTTGTTGTTGTCGTTGTCGCCGCAATCACTTTTGGCCGTGCGAGTCTTTAAAGTCTAGACTAGACTTATTGGAATGTTTGCCACACACACTCATACATATGCATATATGTGCATACATACATAGGCACAGATATCAAAGCAGCAATGGCTTAAATTACAGCGGGCGATCAGAAACTGTAAATTGCTCAATAGTCGAAAGCAACAACAACAGAATTGCACGCCCTGAACCACACGCCCTGCAAACCAACAACAGCAACAAATAACAATAACTGTCAGGGTACAACAAACAAAAAATTTAAAAAAAAAAAATAATAATACAAAAAGCAAAAATTTGGTCAGTGAAAACCTTGGTTCGGTTGCCGCTGTCTGCATTGTTGTTAATGTTAACGGCGACATATTTTGCTTTGGAAAAAATTCTCACCGATAAACAAAAGCCAAGTCTCCCAACTTAATTTCACAAACAAATTTAGACATGGCATTAAGCTAGCCGTCAAAACAACACAAGCAGCAAAACAGCAGCATTTTGCATTAAAACAGTTGCAAATTAAAATCACAACAACGACAACGACAACAGCAACAAACCAACAAAAGCCGTCGACAACGCACGCAGCAAAACTTTTGATTTCTTTTGATATAAAACAGCAGCGCGGCTTGGCAATAAAAGAGGCGGCAAAATGTTAACGGCCATGCGCCCAGAGCAGCAGCAGCAGCAGCAGCAGCAGCAACACCAACAACAGAGTTGCCAGCAAAAGTAAGTTACTAAGGCAAATTGGCTTATAACGGGACGAACTTTCACTGGCTTATGGATGCTGCTGTTGCTGCCGCTGCCGCTGCTGCTGCTGCTGCTGCTGACTGATTGCGCACCAGCTTTCTGCGGGGCGTGCCAAAGCGCCCGGCTTTATAATTTCCATAATTTTGCACAGTAGCAGCCTTCACGGTTGCCACTTGATACAAAAAATGTGTACCAAAGATTGCAAGAAAAGTACAAAATTCGATCAAAACGTAACATTTTGATATCAGTCGTAGTGTAACCTTTTTAAATGTAATTTATTCAAACCAAAAATAAACAAATAAATAATTAAGCCAACGTATTTCATTTCTGGTTTTTATATACACAAATTTCTTCCATTGAATAAATATGTGTATACAAATACTTAATATTTGATATTTGCACTCTACTACACATTGAAATGTCGCAAGATATTATTAAATTTTATTAAAAATCAAAAGCGAATATATAATGAAGGATAACATTTTATTAAAAACCAGTCAAAGTGTACCACTGCATAAGTAAAGCCCCAGTTTTGGTACATTTGTAACACATCTTGCTTTTATGTATGTACATATGTATGTAAATACATTTTGTGCATAACTATTGTGACTTGCAGTGCCGTTAGTCTTAAACAAATTGACTTGTTATCGATAGGTCTGTAAGTTATAAGACATCAGTCCGATTGCATAATCGAATTACAAATATGACAAATGGGTAGCTCGAGTTTGTATTTTGACCGTTTTTTTCACTTTTACTTTTGTCTCATTAATTAACACAGCAACATTTTCCAATTATGCTAAACGACAACAACGATTGGAAAACCGCTTAACTCCATCAAATATGGCAACGTCTCTGTCGTCAGTCATTTTTAGTTAGAAAATAAATAACCAAAAATAGATTTAAAAAGAAAAGGTTAAAATAAGCAACAATAGACGAATGTGATACCCTGTAAACAGCAATATGGGCCTTATATTCTTAAATAACTTCTGGTTGGATTTTCGATCTGATTAAGAATATATGTGACTATTTAAAGGAGGATGTTATCATCTGACTGTCTTATACAACTACACAGTATCATTAAACTCTTTTTTAGCCATATTTGTATAATAGGGCTACCCAGCTAATTCTACAAAAACCCAGCCTTGCTTGTTCATTTTTTGTTGAACTATAAATTAAGATTTAAGTAGGTAAAACTTGTGCTATTGTTTATAAGTAAAGTAGATTCTTATTTTGCAGGTCTTCTAAGTTGCTTTTGCTTGATAAGCGCTGGCCAGTTAATTGAGTTAGAACGCGCTTTTGGACTCACCTGGCTATTGCTGCAATAGTAAATGTCCGACATCCTGGAGCAGCGTGCTCTTCAAAGTTTCTGTTGGTGGTGATGTCGTTTCTACTGAGAGGCAGCGTCAGCGGCTGCATGAAATGAACATGACCGCGTTCTGTGGCGGTGGCGCAGGTGAAATACAAGCGGGCGCGACGGTGCTTTAGGGCAGCGCGCGCTGCAACCAGTTTGCAATGGTCGTCAACTATGAAAAAGTGTCACACGAGCGGAATTGTAAGACGATACTGAGATAGCGATACCTTGATGCCGACTTGCGCAATAGCTCAGGATCAGATCAAATCAGATCAGATTTTCCGCATGCTTTTGCCAAACAAATAACAAAACAAAACAAAACTAAAACAAAAACAAAAACACACAGAACAGCGTGCTGCACTTCACGCTCCGTCTTGCAGAACACTCGCTCGCCTTTATTTTACTTTTTACCGCGCACGCGCGCACCTTTCCAAAATGCACAACGGTTGAGCCGTGTGAGAGAGAGAGAAAGAGAGAGAGAGATTGCACAACTGGCGATTTAGCGCGCGACAAGCGACCGACTCTGGCCAAGTTAAAAAGCTGACTGTCTTGAGCGCGACAGCCCGCACAGCCACTCGGTGAGCAACTTCTTCGGCGACGCAACCGCAACGAAAGTTGTTGTAACCAGTTTGACGGCAGTTGGCAACACACACATCTCGCCATTGACAGGCTGGCTGGCTGGCTGGTTGGCAGCCGGGAGTCGGACGGGAGTCGGACGGGAGGCAGGCGGCGGGCAGGTAAAGCAGGCGGACGATTAGCGCAAAGGACATGCATTTAAGCCGGTGATTTATGGTGAAAACGAATTATTGAAACGAGTCGCACCTGTTCGCTCGGCTTGTGCGGGCGCATGTTGGGAGCAAGGACGCCGGGCAAGAAGCAAGGTAACCTTTGGACAGTGGGCTGCAATATATGTATATGCATAATATTAAAATTGTTTATTTATACGGTTGTTATTTTATCCCATAAGCAAGTGTACATTTTAAAATCAATGACCAAAGCTTGGTGTCATTTGAAATAGGTTAAATGATTATAAATTATTAACCCTGTCACACTTTTGGTTTACTTTATTTGTTTAAAATGAATTCTATTATACCTTGAAGTTTCCATAGGTAATTTCAACTTTAAAATTTTGATTATTTACAATTTCTCGAGCAGAATGGCGGGTGATTTCTGCAAAAATTGGATAATCGGAATAATCGACAATGGGAATACCCTATGAAAATAGCTTCCTTTGCACTAAAAATCTAAAAATATAATATATATGATTTTTGTCGCTTAAATATATTTTTGTGGCAACTGTTGACCTTAAATTTGAATTCAATGGGTTGGTGTTGCCACCTGCTGCACTTTCTAGTGCTGCCAACTTGAACAGCTGTTTGTGACAACAGCTGGTTTCATATCGATTATTTTATTTTTGGATGTTATGGGTATCGATTTTCGCGCACCTAGATGGATTTTTTGTTGTTATTTAGTTGGCACTTGATTTGATTTTCTACTTCTGCGCTATGATATAGCAGTTTATGTCCATAAAGTAACACCTTGTGATGGCGCGCAATGTGCTAGAGAGTAGCCTGTTGGGCGCTGGTTTCAGTATCATCTTTCAGGTGAGCCAGCCGCAACCAAAATCAAAACATTCACCAATCCGAAGCGTATGAGTCAGATATTGAGGACGTTGTCATTGTCGTTATCTTGCAGATACTGTGCCGCATCCTAACGTTCGGCATTAATGCCTACATTGTGCGCAATGTAGGTCGCGAAGTGCTGGGCATTATGAATGTGCGCCTGCTGCTGCTCGAGAGCACGTTACTTTTCTTGTCGCGCGAGGCCATCAACCGGGCGGCACTGAGCGCCAATTCTCAGCAGCGCGACAAGTGTTCTTGGGCGCAGTTGATCAATCAGATGTGGCTTACGTAAGTGCCAGGCCGATTGCCACAGATCCCACCTCTCCTGTCATCGCAGCACTGTACTCTATCTACTCTTTTCCTCTTACATGCAGAGTCCCCATTTGCGCATCCCTGTGCGCGCCGTGCCTATATATATGGCTACACTGGCTCTCAGCTGTGGATGCACCCTTCAGCGCACAATACGAGTTCGCCTGCTATGCGGTGGCGCTATCCTGCGTCCTCGAGTTAGTGGCAGAGTCGACGGTTTTCGTGGCCCAGGTCTTTTGCTTTGTCAAGCTGAAGATTGTGCTCAACACGCTGCACATACTGGTGCGTTCGGCTATCTTTCTGTGGATTGTCATTGATGACCGCAGTGCGGCTATTAGTGCCTTTGCCGTCGCCCAACTGGCCAGCGCCACGACCATTGTTCTAGGTCAGTTCGGATTCTTTATGTTCTACATTAAGAGCTTCAACGAATTCAAGCTACAGCAGCAGCAAGTACGCAAGAGTAAGGCAGTACACGTTCTAAACTCCTGGCAGCGCTCACTTTTCGACCACATGGAGGACTTTCCTTTCACAAAACTATCGCAGCTGCTGCCGGGTGTATTGAGCTCTTCTAATGGAGGCGACATTTTCAACAGAGAGCTACAAACGCTGACTCTCAGCTTTGTCAAGCAGGGCGTGCTCAAGCAGATTCTCACCGAAGGCGAGAAGTATGTTATGTCCGTTTCGCCAGTGCTCAGTTTTGGCGAGCAGGCCACATATGATGTGGTGAACAATCTTGGCAGCATGGCGGCTCGCTTTATATTCCGGCCTATTGAGGACAGCGCCTATTTCTACTTTACTCAAACAATCGCACGTGACACACGTTTGGCAAAGCAGCCGCCGGAGCGTGTACGTCAGGCGAGCAGCGTCTTGAACAATCTGCTGCTGGGCGTCAGCTCCATTGGCCTGCTGGTGTTCACCTTTGGCCAAAACTACTCGCATACATTGCTGCTGCTGTACGGCGGCGAGGATTTCGTTGCCGGTGGACTGCCTCAGCGCCTACTGCAGTGGCACTGCCTGGCCATCTATCTGCTGTCCGTGAATGGCATCAGCGAGGGCTACATGTTTGCGACCAATACCAGTCGAGACATTGATAAGTACAACTATCTGATGGCAATATTTTCAATAAGTTTCCTCATCTTGTCGTACATTCTGACGGGCATTTTCGGACCGGTCGGCTTCATCTTTGCCAACTGCATCAACATGCTGGGTCGCATCCTGTACAGCACCCGGTACATCTGGCACCAGTATCAGCCACTAGGCCTAAATCCTCTGCAAGGACTGTGGCCAGGCAAGCTTTTTGGTGGCACGCTGCTGCTGGCCGGCCTGATTTGCTACATGGTGAGTGTAGTTATACTAGCAGTAATTCAGCCTTGTGCACGCATTAATTTATATGCGGAATTTAACATTTTTTGTAGTATCAGGATGCGGTATTTGGGACACACATGGGCGTTGGTTTGGCCGCAGGCATTCTATGCCTACTTGCCTGGGCGCTGGCACACCAGGAACTGATGCATTTGGCCTGGAAGTACGGTCGTCGCATCAAGATCGAATGAAGCCAAAGCTAAAATAGTTTGTTTTCCTGTGTTGCTGATGTTACTTGAGCTCTTCTTCCTGACCTGGGGCACTATCTTCGCTTCCAGTGACCACAAATCGCACATCAAGTTGGACATACCGTCTATTTCTATATATATATATCTAGTTGAAAATAAATTAAATTCTAGTTAAGTTATTGTACGTTTAATGCTTTTCGCTACAAATTGTTAAAGACTCACAAAAGACAACGAAATAAAAGAAAGTAAGCAAGTAAGGGCATTATTTAATTTAAAAATTGATGATAAAATAAACTCGATAATAAAACTGTAGAAACAAGCATTTATGTATTTTTTTTATTGGAGAAAGTTAACTAGAATATATTAAAAAATAAAATTAATGATTGGGTAAAAGCGCTTCAAATTTATTTTTAAATTATTATTATTGTTCTTTTAGATTTTTACAATAAATACATGAATCACAAATTATGTTTCTGGGATACAGCGCGCGGTTAACGACAAATTTCTGCAGAATGCCCAAAAACAAAACCGATAACCGGTGCGTACTCATGTGTGGTATCGATAATTTATCGGATTGTACGTTAAACAAGCGGCGAGCGCGCATTGCAGCGAACACAGTCAACAAGAATTTTGTTTGGTTTAGTGGCAGCCAAAACATTTAAGCAGCTCGATATGAAGCGCGGCAAGGATGAAGACAAGGATGATGTTGGTGTCAGCAATGCTGCTGTTAGCAACAACAACAACAATAGCAAAATAAATAACAACGCTTCACCCAACATCAGCAGCGGCAGCAACAGCAATGATGCCAACAGCGGCATCGGCAACACGCCAGGCACTGTGCGCACCACGGGCCGTGTCAAGGTAACTAAAACTGTGTGATAACAGCAAAATGCACTGTTCTGATCTCACATTGGGCTTTTAACAGAAACCCAAACAAGTTTACGATCCGTCCGACAATTACATATCACGCGGATCGCGCAACTCGCTACCGGCACCGGCGCCGTCAACAGCCCAGCCACCGTCACCCGCACAGAACACTAGCGCAATTCAACAACAACAGCAGCGGCAGCAGTCGCCGCAGCCGCAGGCACAGCCGCTGGCAACGCAGCCCAATCCATCGACTCAGCAAGCAGCGCTTGTAAGCGCAAGCGAAGTGGCGCCCCAAACAGTTGCAAACACTAGTGCTAAAGAGGAACCCTGCGAGACGGTGTCAGTGCCGAGCGCGGAGCAGCAACGCAATTTTGATACTTGCATGAAGTGCGGCAAGAGCGAAGCCAAGCGAGGCTCAGGCTATAAAAGTAATTTTCTTACCTGCAAGTCCTGTTCCTTGAAATGTAAGTAGCATGGTTATCCTTGATACTGTTGCTAAAACAGCTGCTGTTTATTGTTTTACAGGGCACTTTACCTGCCTGCCGATCACATTTGAAATTCTAACCAATGCACGTAAGAAATACAAGTGCGAAAAATGTCGTCGCTGCCGCAACTGCATGACTACCAAGTGCGCCGACACGGTCCAGGAGTTGTTGATGTGCTGTGTCTGCGCGAATGTTTATCATTTGGACTGCCATTGGCCGCGCGTGATGCGCGACAAGTTGGATGACGTCAAATGGAAGTGCTACAGCTGTGATCCCAGATACAACTCGTTAGATACTGACGATGATGTGGCCAAAATAGAGCCGCAGTCGCCACCGCGTAAATCCAAGGCTGGACGCAAGAAACGGGCCACTTCTGATCCAGCTGTCGTCGTTGCCAAGAAGATAGCCGCCAACCAAGTGCTGAATAAAAATGGCTTAACCGACCGTTGCAGTAGTCCCAGCAAAATTCAGACTGTAGTTAACGCTTCCCCAAGCGCAGCGACAACGCTGTCAATGCAAGAAAACGAGACCAGCAAAGAAACTAAGGCGGCGACGCAACTGCCAGAAGGGTTGCCACAGTCGCCGCCAATCGCCTCGGTCCCGGTTTCAGCTTTGTCAAGTTCAATAGAAGACAAAGAGAATGGAGAGAGTACAAACACTCCTCAGACAACAGTTCCTGGAAGCGGCGAACCGTCGTCGTCCGTGCAGACATGGAACGTTGATGAGGTGGTTAGCTATGTAGAGAAGTACTACCCGCGTGAGGCTGACGTCTTCAAGTCCCAGGAAATTGATGGCGCTGCGTTAATGGTGCTAACGCGCCAGGATATCATCGACCGGTTCGGCCTGAAGCTCGGCCCAGCGCTGCGCATTTACGAGCTGGTCCTTGCCTTGCAGAACTCCGTCGATGATGTAACCCTGGCCTGGTGTGATTAGTTTTTTTTTTCCACTTTTTTTAACAACGTTTTCATAGTTTCTTTTATTTTGTTAAGTTTTAAGTTAGTGCACGCTCAGAAGAAGAAATACTCTTTAAGCTCGTTAGTTAGGATCAACGAAGACCTACCATTTGATTTCCTCATTAATGTTACACATTCATATGTATATTTTACTGCATAAAATAAAAACTTTAAACTTAATATACGTATATAATCGCCTTAGTGATTATTATACGATCTATTTGTGAAAACAATATTTATCTTTTGTTAAAGAAAGTACTACTTGTTTTCATGAAGAATACATTTTCATATTCATTTTTTTTGCCTGAACTTAAACATCTTGCCAAAACCCATATTTCTTAGTCTTAAGTCATCCACGGAATCAGTTTACTATACCAATACTTAATAATATATATAATTATATATATAAACAAAAGTGAAAAATAACGTTTCCAAATATAGCTTAAAATTGCATTGAATAAAATGCTACAAGCTTTACTTGGTCAAATTTTGCTTTGAATTTATTCGACACATAAAATTTACTGAGTGGTCTGGCACAGGTTATATGAACTATAAATACATAATGTGGACCCGAGCCTTTTTGAATTCGATCAATGGGACTTAATGTAAATATATATATACATACACACAAATGTATGAGGTTGTGTAGGAATGCGAAATATTTCCGCATGGAATATCAAAAACAGTACAAATATCAAATTGAAGTACACGAACGATCATCACATGGGCGGCAGGAAGTGCCCAAAGGAAAGAGATAACTAAACAAACATCAATACAATACTGTTGGCAAAATATTGTTGCCATGGATTAGGTCTGAAGTCGGATGCATTATTGTCTCAGACGCGCGGCAGCAGCTTCTCCTCATCGACCGAGAGATTGTGCGGCGCAGGCTTGGTGGCAGTGCGGGCAGGATCATAGCCGTAAAGGAATATTGAGGCGATAACCAGCATTGCGCCGGCACTGAACTGTAGCGTTAGATTGAAATTGAAAATGTAAATGGATGCAATGCAGGAGATGATGATCGCCAGCGACGTGGCGAATCCCTTAAGTATATTGTCAGCATACTTAACAACGACGGCTACGATAAGGCCGCCACCCGCCTGCAGCAGCACGAGGTACCAAACGAAGAGATCATAGCCATGGAAGAAACCATAGTTATAGATGCGGCTGGCATCGTTAATAAAGCAGGTCAACAGTCCAAACGGTATGCTCAGGAGACTGAGCTGCACGTTGCGCATCCATACGGAAATCTCAGCGCCCTTCAGTATCTTCTCAAAGTATATGCCTGCAAAGCCAGACAAAAAACAGGCGCCCAGTGCCGACCATAAGCCCAGCATACGATTCTGAGCGGGCGCCAATGAAGAATGTGTGGCCGTTGGCGCTGAGGAAGCAGCGTCATCACCAGCACCACCACTGCCTCCGCCATCCGTCTGAGCCAGCTGCACCAATACAATGCCCAATACGAGCAGCACCAGGGCGCCCCATTGCGTGTTGAACAACCTCCGGCGCAGTATGACAACGGCAAACATGGCGGTGGTCAGTATCTTAAGCTGGTATGTCACCTGATAGGTGGCCGCATCCAAATGCGATGCCGACACATAGAGCAGATTGTTCTGCACTATATAAACCAGCGACGGCACACACACCTTAAGCGTGTCCACAGGATTGGCTATTATGGTCTTGTGTAAGGAACGTACAAACCGTTGGGCGTCCTTGCCCTCCTCATTAAAGACCAGCACCAGACAGGTGATCAGCTTGACGAACTCGGCCATCAGCACCGCTGCGAAAATAGAGGAAGTTGGCGACAAATTAATAACAAGATGATAAAGTGGAAAGTCAGTCAGTAAAGCAATGCGACATGCAGACATACAAGCAAGTACAGACGTACATCAACACAGGAAGTATATAACATGACATGCTTATCAGCTTTGCTCGGTTAGTTGTTGTAGTTCACTCTAATTGAACGAATCTTTTTGCGGCCCTATTACAACTAAGTGTATGCATGCATGTGTGTGTGTGTGTGTGTGCGTCTGTGTGTTTGTATTTGCTTACGCATCTGCTTACGTTGTCTATGCAGTCTCTCACCTGTGGAGCTCAGAAAGATGTCCCCTGGCCTTGTGCGGGCATAGCGCATGCTGAGACCCAAGATCGCATTCTGTAGCGTTAATGTCAGCAGGCTAATGTACTTGAGAGTGTTGGTGTTAACTGCGCGAGTAGAAAGAGTTAAGACCATCATGTCAGTGGGTAAATGGTCAACTACTGTTTCCTAAAACTAAAAACTACACGCACTTACCGTGTATATTCATTTTGCGCTTGGCGTCTGTTTTGGTATCAGAACCGGCAAAGCGTGAGTTAAAGGCAAAATAGTTTAAACCAAACAAAAACAAAAAAAAAAGAAAATAATAATAAAGGGAAACACCTGTTTCGGTGATAAACAATTGCTTAGACAGTATACGCTGCCCGCCTGCCGTGCGCGTTGCTTCTTCGGCGATTTTTCGGCTATGAAGAAGGCACGGACACGTAAACAAGCTTTCAGCTCATATTGCGTCCAGTTTTATCGTGCATTGTTGTTTTTGCTTTTTTTTATGGCTATTGCCCAATGGAATGCCTCCGATATCGATAACGATTACAGCGACAATGGTTATCGAGTACGAGTAGTTTTACAGCTGGTGGCATCGATTGCAACTTGTTTTTGTTGGACCAACGTTGCCTGTGCTATTTGTTATTAGCACCGACTAGCCCATTGCTTTATTATAAAGAAAAAGACATTGCCAAAATGCGTGAACAGCCGTTAAACGAGGTTACACAACTGATACACGCCGTCAAAATGGGGTAAGACACGTACAACAACAAAACGTATTATGTTAAACTGACCATCAAATGTATCTACAGCTTAGTGGAAGGTTCCTACAGCATTACCAACAAGACGCTGGACATCTTCAAGTACATAATTATGAGCAAAACCTGGCAAAATGCAGAGTAAGTCGGGCTTGAGGTTATCAGTTATTTCAATTATTGACCACAATTTACAGCGCACTCATGCAAATTGTGCGCGCCCAGTCACGAATAATGCAGGCGGCACTGCCACAAGAGACTGTCACTTCGAACATGGCACGCCGCATACTTAAACTGACGCGTGAGGAATTCGAGCTGCTCCAGGCAAAAGGTCAGCATTTTGCCGACGACTCACAGGCTTCTCTTTCGCTACACAAGCTGGTCACGCAGACCAGCGAGAATTGCGTCAGCGTGGACTACTCAGTGCCGCAGCAGGGGCTGCGTGAAGCTCTGCTTGATCATTTGCAGGAGGTTGAAACTGAACTGGAAACCAGCTCTGAGAACATAAGTGTTCAGGCAGAGGAGCACATACACTCCTCTGAAATAATACTCACGCTTGGACACTCGCGCAGCGTCGAAAACTTTCTCAAGCGAGCCATCAAGAAGCGACAGTTTCTTACTATCATCGTAGCCGAGTGCGCTCCAGCCTGTCGGGTGAGTCAAGCGGCACACCTTTGGCGGGCCATCAAATTTAAAGCGGGCTCTTACCGGTTGCGGAGCGGGACCGATTACCCCCATACAGTTCATTACTGCTGCAATTTAGAATATCAAATTTATTCTTTAATTCTCTTGCAAACTCAACTCGATTTTCGAAAAGGAGAAATAATTTCAGTTGACGGTTGATTCGACAAAATAATATTGTTTGCGCATAACATGCGTTACATTTTGAAATGCAGCTTTGCAAGCTACTTGCTCAGCCTTGTCTATGCACCAACATTTTCAAATAATCTTATTCCGTAAGAACTACTACGCCCAAGTTTCCTTTCCTATCGAAAGTGAGCAGTAATACGGGGCTTCAGAAAATTCGATTTACAAGTGGGCGAAAAAGCTGGTCAAATGAAAAGCAAGCAGGCATCCATATAAGTGTGCGTTGAAAATGTCTGAACGTCGAACTAGCTAGTGGGACGTTGTCGGCTCAAATCCAGCAGCAATTTCAAATTTTTATATTTGTTTATTTCATTGTAATTATTCACGAAGAAGAAAAAAAAGTAGTAAACGATGAAGGGAAAAATTATTTATGTGAACGTGGCAGTTTTTTCTTCTTGTATATAATAGTAAGATATCCTTGACTAATCCCTATATGTCTATTTAAATATCGCTCTCTCTCTCTCTCTCTCTCTCTCTCTCTCTCTCTCTCTCTCGTTCTATCTCTGTCTGCCCGCAGGGACACAACTTAGCTGCATCCTTGGCCCATGAGAAGAATGTGGAGATTATTGTAATACCGGATGCGTCCATATTCGCGATGATGTCGCGCGTCAACAAGGTCATCATTGGCACACACAGCGTTCTAGCCAACGGCGGACTGCGGGCCGCATGTGGCGCCTACACAGTTGCCCTGGCTGCCAAGCATTACTCAGTGCCGGTCATTGTGCTAGCGCCCATGTACAAGCTCTCACCTTTGCACTTGTGTGAGCAGGATGCTTTTAATATGGTTGGCTGCGCTGAGGATGTGATTGCATATGACTCTGTGCCGGCGCGCGATGCCAAGGTGTACAGTCCCATGTTTGACTATGTGCCACCCGAATTGGTCACGCTCTTCATATCAAATACGTAGGTGTCCTAAATTGCCAACTCATTGTTTAGCCACTCATCATATTCTTGCTTATTCACAGCGGCGGTCATGCTCCCTCCTATGTTTACCGTTTGCTCTCAGAGCTCTATCATCCCGAGGATCTGGAACTTTAAAACACTTTGTTCAACTCATTGTAAATTATATATTTAAACCCACATAGACTGGACAACAATAACAACTACATCAACAAGAAATAAAATAGTAACTGTGCTCAATTTGGTGCTACTGCACGTTCTTTAACAACTCTATGAAATCGGCCAGGCTGTCGGCATAGTAGTCTGGCTGCGCCTCGGGTGGCGCCGCAATCATGTCCTCTTTGGTAAGGCTGCCGGAGAGCACCAGCAGTGATTGAAAGCCACAGGACTTGCCAAACTGTATATCCTGCACCAGCATATCGCCCACAAAAATGCATCGCTCCGGCGCTTGTATATCGTACATCTCCTTAAGCATATCACCAAGTATGGGCGATGGCTTGCCAAGAAAGATTGCCTCGCGATCCGTATACCGCTTGACGTGCTGCAAGAAGTCATAGAAACCAGGTACATTGAGATTTTCGGCCAGTGGCATAATAACATCACTGCCACCGGCAATTAGCTGGCAGTTTTCGTTCATCTGCAGATGACGTATGGCCTTGGCCAGCTCCACGTATGACATATCCAGATGTATGTCAAATAACACAGCGTCCACAGCTTGCTCAATTGCGAGATAATTCACCAGTGAGGCCGACGTCAGATGCTCCTTGATTTGCTGCAGTTATATGATTTCGTTTTAGATTTAGATTAATACAGGAACAGTTCAGACCCACCAATGACTCATACTCGATGCCGTGCTTACGCAACGTCTCATTGGCTTCCAGCGACATGAGCGAGTAGACGCGTTTGCCGGGCTTGTGCTTATGCAAATAGCGTACAATACTCTTTACTGGATGAACTACATCGTCGTGTTGTACATTGAGTGCACCAATATGGTCAAATTTCTCCATATACTGATCGTCGGTGCGGAAACTATTGTTCGACACGAACTTGACGGATTTGCCGGCATTTTTAAGCGCATTTATCGCCTCGCCGGTACCTGGTATCCAGCCGACCAGCAACCAGACAACGCCATCGCAATCGCTGATTACCATATCAAAGGAGTCAATAAAGCTGCGCTGCTCCTCCACGCTAAGATCAAGTATATGCCGAGGCGCCATTATGTTCACACCCGATGGGACCGAGACTGAGACCGCAACTAACCGGGCAATTTGTCCGTTACTATAGCTGCTTACTTGAGTTACTTGGCGGCAGTCGCAGGAGGTGGTGGATGCTGTTGCGCGCGCACGCCAATTAACAGGCCAACTGAATGCCAAGGCGGCCGTTTAACCTTCAACGTCACATTGAAGCTCCAGCTGTTGCCGCTGCTGTTTTGACTATGGCAGCAGTAATAATGTCTATTTAATGCTTGATTTAACTATTTAGCTAAGTAACAGCTACCTTGATTGTGACTGATAAGATCTCATGTGCCCAGACCATGCCTTTAAAGGGGCATCTGGAGAGTATTTACTATCTGTGCTTTCAGCCTGAACACGCTGTGCCTTGCTATGGATACACGCGTACCTCTTATTGCGTTACATTTAAGTTAAATATTTTGTCATTGCTTTCATAAAGATAACGCGCGCACGCCAGCGTTGCCAGACTCACAAAACAAAACATTTAATAAATCAATGCTTGCTTGAAAGCTGACAAGTGTGGATTGCCAATCAGAATTCGGATTTTTCGGAATGCAGGGCTACCGTATATTAAACTTTTCAATCAAATTGTAGGGAATTCTTTACAAGTCCAGAGTATTCGCTTTAGAGTGACTCAGATGTTGCGTAAATGTATATGACGGGCAGAAGGAGCAATCTCTCTATCATCAGTTTGGGCTTACAACGGCAGGTCCACATTCTAAATGCCCTTGAGAGCTACAAAAACTGTTCCGCTGTCGTCACAAATATGCGCCATACATTCGATAGGTATATCATAATGGCCTTTTGTACAAAATTCAATGTTAGTTGTTGAAATAAAAATGTTTTTTATACAGGAACTTCATATTTGATCTATCGTTTCTATATCAACTATATAAATACTGATCTATACCTTTAAAGTCGATAACTTGACTCAAGAACTTTTATACTTGTTCCAAGACTTTTTAGAACATATCTGAAATTAAATAACTAACTAGCTTTTAGTTTTATTTCTGCCCAAAAGCTCAGAAAAATGGTTTATTACCGTAGGAAGTTCGAAAATGCTAGCCTTAGACCGCTCTTTTTATCCTGTACCCATTGAAATGGGTAAAGAGGGTATAATATTTTTGTGCAAAAGTATGTAACAGGCAGATGGAGGCATCTTTAAGCCAAAAAATATATATATATTTATATATATATAATATATATATATATATATATCTATATAAAAACTGTTTTTCCTGACTGACTGAATGATTTGTAATCAACGCTCAGCCCAAGCCGTAATGATGAAGGTGCACATTAACACGGGGTCTCGGGATATTCCACCCGCATGTGTGGAAAAACCGCGAAAAACGTTTATATGAAACTTTTTTGTTTACCATCCGACCGGCCCCAAACTCATTTTCAAAGATCTTTGAGGAATGTTTCACACTTTTCGAAAAATTTATTCCGCCTTGGTGGAAATGGCGGTCAAAGATTTGGCGAGACGTGTGGAAAATGCGGTTCAAAGATTTTTTGGGATAAGTTTTAGGTTTTTTCCGATTTGCACCAAACTTTTTTTTCAAAGCTTTACATAAGAACTTAATGAATATGTTTTTCAGCGGTTTGGGAAATTCCACCCGCAACAGTGTTAAAATGGCGGAAAACGGTTGTATGAAAGTTTTTGGTTACCGTCCGAACGGTTTCAAAATCATTTTCTAAGATCTCTGAGGGAATTTGTTTTATAAGGGCCACGGGCTAGGCCGGGGTATACCCGCTAGTATATATGTATATATATTAAGTCTAAAAAAACTAGAGACTTGAAGTTATAAAAATATCTTCTAATATTTTCGAGCAATATCGTTTTTATGTCATGGGTTTTTATATAAGTAGAAATCAAAAATATATATACACCAAACTGGTTATATAGGTTGTTGTATGGTTATCATAGATTAAGACTATTTCACATTTTGAATACCGCCCAATCCACACAAAGTTGTACAATAATTAGTTTTTAAAGTAAGAGCCTTGTATTTGAGCACAGAAATTTGATTAAGTTCGGACAATACAAGCTTTAGTTAATCAAAAGTGCATTTCTCAACGTAAGGCGCTGGATGAGAAGTATCTCTAAATCGGGCAATTCCGATTAGAGAAATCCTACTTGTATCAAATCATGTTTCCAATTGGACTCGAAAGGGTTTCGTATACTTATTGCTAGATTTTTACAGCTGGACTTTATTGCGTAGCTTGAGCATTGTGTACATGTGTATATACACACACATACGTATGTATATATATGCATGTATGTATGCGTGTATGTATGCATGTATATGTGTTGGTCTCCAAAAAGCGAAAGTAAGCCCCACAGCACCTTGACATTGGCCATGATTTTCACAGCTTTGGCTGGCCGCGACGGCTGGGGCAAAACAAATGCAGCAATTGGCGAAAAGCAAATAGCTGAACGTGGCAAATCGAGAAAGACAATAATTGGAATACATTTCCACACATTTAACTGTGGCGCAGTTCTAACCGAAAGATAATTGCAAGAAGACGCGAACCGGGCATGAAGAGACGGAGACGGAGCAGTTCGACCAACTAAGCAGATAGTTAACGTGCATTTAATACATGCGTGAAATGGGCATGGTAAATACATAGATATATCTGTATATATATATTTATATATATATATATTTATGTATGTATATGTATATTTATGTACATATATCAAAAATCCGAATCGATTGGCAGCCTAGTTAGGCGGTTCTGATAAGATAGAAGACGCGCCACGCTACGAAAACGGTGCGGCACACTCACCAAGTACACACACACACACACACACACACATAGACAGCCGCACACAGACATAGATACACAAGCAGAACGATATATACATAAGCGGGCCGAGGCATCGAGAGCTGTGAAAGTCCCAAGTACTAGTCGCGATTATACAATTATTAGGCAACAAGCAGGAAACATGAGCAGTGCCGCCCAAGTCAACCAAGTTACCAGTGCCAGCAATGGCCATTCCTCGCCTCCGGAGGAGTGCGCCGCCGTCAGCAATAGCTGCTCCAACCCCACCCCCTCCTCCTTCTCCTCCGCCACGGCAGCAGCGGCAACGGAACCAGCGATCCCAGCGAACAGCAACAACACCGAACAGCTAAAGATTTTGGGCCAGCTGAGCAGCATCGAGCAAATCAACGAGCAGCGACGCATCTTTCTCAAAAGCACCATCAACGAGATCCAGGAGGAGGTCAGCAACGAGGCGGACGCCACCGCGGAATCGTTGCCCGAAATGCGCAAGCCGCCGCCCAATAGTCTGGCGCTGAACGTGAAATATGCGACGCTGCCGTCCCCGTCATTGGTCACATCGACGCTGGTCCGTTCGCCGCTGTCGCCGCCACCCAAGCCGCCCATGCTGAGTCGTACGCGCAGCACCGGCTCCGGCGATGGACGCACGCCGTCGACCAATGGAGATCTGGCGCTGCTGCGGCACAGCGTTACGGAGACGCCCATACCAGCAGCTGCAGCAGTTCCGGAAGCAAAAACAACAACTACGACAACAGCAGCAACAACAACAACTGCTACAACGACCGCTTCCAGCGCTGAGCAGCCGAACCCAACGCCAGCCACCATATCGGCGAAGCACTACGAGAGCCTGATCGAGGAGCTGCGCTGTCCCGGCTGCGCGGGCCCAATGAAGGCACCAGTTCTCCTCTGCAAGAGCGGGCACAGCGTGTGCGAGCAGTGCACCCGCATTCTGCTCATGTGTCCGCTGTGTAAGGTATGTCCACCCGCAGCAGCAGCTGAGATATCATTTTGTAGATACACATTGTTGTACATAGGCCCGGGTCTGGCAATCGCTTCCCTCGCTTCCCTCGTTTCCCTCGCCGGGTTGACGTCAGTCTCAGGCAAGCCATATCTAGCACTTGACATCTTATCGCGGCTACTTATATGACGTCTTGCTGGCAAAATACAGTGAAGCCTCTCAAGTTGCCAACGCTCTGCTCTGTTTGTTCGCCAATGGAACAT